CACATTTTGGTCCATGTAACTTTTTCCTTCACATGAGGGTTTTTTGGGCCCATAACCTCCAACAACACTAAATGGATCGTAAATCTCGGATTTATCGGATTTTGTTTTGGTATTGGATAAATCCAATGATTTTTGATCCCACCTACTGTTATGGCACGGGATCTTGACATTATCTTCCTCCTGATCACTTATTTCCATATCCACAGCTGTTGCTGTAAGTTCCTCGTCATTTTCTTCATATTCAGGGAAATCTTCAAAATTATAATCTTCTTCTTCTCCATCGTCCATCCAAGGATTAACTGCTTGATTTATGGGCTGACTTTGAAAAAAACTCGCTTCTTTACTCACAGGCAGTCCATAATCCTCCGGATCTTCAAAGGAAGAATTTTGGGATCTTTCATCATCATTTTTTTGCAGAGCTGCCAAAAGTTTCTGCGCAAACTTATTATCCAGTATTTCTTCATCAATTTCGTCACGTCTACTGAAAACCTCATTTTCCAAGCAGTTGTAATCCTCCTCATTGTCCCCATCGAAATCATAAATATTATAATCATCGTTCAATTGACTCTTATGATTGTTACTGAAAGAATTTTTTCGTTTCCTGCTATTCTCAGAATTTTTCATGTACTTGGTAACGGCTCCGTAAGAGCTACTCCATGGGTCCTGGCTGAAATTTTATTTAAATATCATTTATGCACTTGGGTAAAAAAATCAATATGCAATAACAATAACAAACCTGGCAATAGAAATTGGGAAATTTTAATAGATTTTAAGTTACCCATTTTCAAAACAGATAAAATCCTCAATATTAGACTTAATAATACTATTGTTTGTATGAAATTTACAGATCTATCCAAATAAATACCTTCCACCTCTCAAAGAAAGGTTCACTCGTACAACAAGCTCAAAATGTTGTACTTACAAAAGAAAAACATGTCGAATTCATATTTTAAGGTTAATTTTTCCATTTAAAACATTCAAATGAGAATGTTTAATCATGTTTTTATTTTAAATCCTATAAAGCGAAACAAAAACCACTTACCTGTCCATTGAAATGTTTTTTCATTAAATTATTGATAAACAAATCAAAACAAACATGACATTTCTTATGTCAATATATGTATTCTTCTTCTTCTTCTTCTTCTACAATCTAGTAATATATACGAGGGGGAATCGATAATTAAATGCTATGTTATGTCAAAATAGTATAATTACATAATATGTATTAAAGATTATAATTTATAATGATTTAATGCCTCGAACCTGGTTCCAAGAACTAGGAAAAAGCTGTCAACATTGCATTAAACTATCAGGATTTGAACTAATGAGAAGTGGTTTAAATACACCGATCAGGAGAGGTCGATCTGATGGAAAGTAGGTTAAACGCATCAAAAACTTTAGAGTAGGTATGTAGCGGGAAAATAGATGGTTTAATTAACATATTTATTTTTACCGGCTAAGTTTTTTAGTGTTATTTCGAAAATGCTTTAAAATTTTTTCTACGATAAATTAGTTAAAATTAAATTGTTAATATTTTTTAAATATGTCCCCCCGCATCTCTATACCAAAATTTCACCAACAAATTTTGTATTTGGTTTTATTTTTTTTTCCCCAATAATCACTGTCAACAAGACATTTCACAGAAAAATAAAAGGTAAAATAGTATATTAAAGTACAAGTTGCAGAAGGCCACATATTCTCGCACGAATTCGAAATTTGGCCTCGAGCGACGAAGGAGCGAGTGGACGAACGAATGAGTGCGAGAATAGCCTTCTGCAACGTGTGATTTATACTATTTTCTCGATTTTAACTTTTATTTAGGTTTTTTTAATTGTTTTGTGGTCGTTGTTAGTTGGGGGATTTTTCTCGCATAATGTCAGTTGGCAACACAAAATGACAATATTTGTTATCTTGGACACTTTTTCACATTAAACTTAAAATTTTGCATTAAAATGCATTGTTGGAGCAAACTTAATATTACAAAACAATAATAAAGGCTTCATTTTCAATAAAAGTGTAGTTCAGGTTGCACTAGGATAACAAGCAAAGTTATTATAAATAATCCTAAAAGTAATGAATTTGAGGTTATTAAACAGTTTGACATTTTGGGGGTACCAATACTTAAAAACAAAATGTTACCAAAAATCGTTTAAGAATGAGCTTCATTCTTCTACGATTTTGCGTGCTAGAATATGACATTCTTACATAAAAATCGAGAATAGTATATTAAAGTACAAGTTGCAGAAGGCCACATATTCTCGCACGAATTCGAAATTTGGCCTCGAGCGACGAAGGAGCGAGTGGACGAACGAATGAGTGCGAGAATAGCCTTCTGCAACGTGTGATTTATACTATTTTCTCGATTTTAACTTTTATTTAGGTTTTTTTAATTGTTTTGTGGTCGTTGTTAGTTGGGGGATTTTTCTCGCAAAATGTCAGTTGGCAACACAAAATGACAGTTGCATGGACAGGTAGATTTATTTTTATTTACTATTTATTAATAATCTGTCTGTATTTGTCAACTGGATAATAAGGTTTTGTGTAAGTATTGTATTATTTTTTAATGTTTTCTGATATTTTTGAACAATTGTGTTTACTTTTAGTAATGAAAAATGTCACAGGAGTTTTTACAAGCAACACCAAACATTACAATAAAAGTTTATAACAATTGTGCTAGTGATTAATTTATAGTAGTTTTGTGTTTTGTGTACTGTGGGTATATAATATTTCCAATAAAATATAGTTTGATTGACCTGTTTGGCTCATTTATTTGTCAATATTTGTTATCCCGCACAACCTGAACTGCACTTTTTCACATTAAACTTAAAATTTTGCATTAAAATGCATTGTTGGAGCAAACTTAATATAACAAAACAATAATAAAGGCTTCATTTTCAATAAAAGTGTAGGATAACAAACAAAGCTATTATAAATAATCCTAAAAGTAATGAATTTGAGGTTATTAAACAGTTTGACATTTTGGGGGTACCAATACTTAAAAACTAAATGTTACCAAAAATCGTTTAAGAATGAGCTTCATTCTTCAACGATTTTGCGTGCTAGAATATGACATTCTTACATAAAAATCGAGAAAGTTATTTTAATCCACATTTGTATTTTTTATTTGCACCGTCTGTTAAATGAATAGGCTTTGGTGTGCAGCTACAAAAAACTAATTTTTAAATTTTTATTTAGGTTAAGTAAACATTAAATGAGATGTCGTTTTCCCCGCCTCAAGGACCCAAGACCACCCAACCCAGCCCATCCTCCCAAAACGGTAAATTAACATTTAGTTTTTAATAATTAAATAAAATATAAATAAATAAAAAAAATGCAAAGAAGCTATTGTTAGTTGAATATTCAACTATAGTTGAATCAGCTTTTGGATTGTCAAATAAACGTTGTGTCTGATTTATAGATTGCCTTCCTCCCTTCCTCCCGTAAAAGATGAACAATACAAAAAACGTTGTGCTGTTTGTAGATTCCCGTACGGCAATATATAAATGGCACTACGATTTTCGTATTGTTCATCTTTTACGGGAGGAAGGAAGGAAGGCAATCTATAAATGAGGCTTTAATAGTAAAAACGTATTGCGCATATGCGATTTTGGTATCAGTTTTTTAAATTGCAACGTCTCCATTGGAAAGCTCTTGAAAATTGCATTTAACTGTGCTAAAAAATGCTTTTAAATAGTTTATTTTTTTTTTAATAAATATTTATTCCACTTTCTCGTTATAAATATCAAATTAAGAAGTAAATATTTCCTAATTAATATAATAAACCTACATAATATATTATATTAATTGACCATATGCAAGGAATGCGATCGATGTTGCCAATGGTAAAAAAATAAAATTCCCTATTGGGAACATTCAATTATATTACGTTGGCTACACTGAAATTTTGAATTTCCCGCACAAACTGACATACATTCTAGTAGTTCCCAGAGATAAAGAAGGTAGTTCCAATGTTGTATAATAAATTAAGGTGCGAATTTCAAATGTGGGAATTAATATTATTTATTATTATTAAAAAAAAAGATGGAAATTAATTTAGTTTGTGCGGGAAATTCAAATTTTCAATGTAGCCAACGTAATATAATTGAATGTTCCCAATAGGGAATTTTATTTTTTTACCATTGGCAACATCGACCGCATTCCTTGCATATGGTCAATTACATTTACATTACGACCAATAAAATGAAGAATATGTTTTTAATTTTTTTATAGGTGAATGGATGAATAGGCAAGAGATTCCCATGGACTATTGCAATTGTCCTCCAGGACTAGAATACCTTGCTAAGATTGATCAACTACTGGTTCAGCAAAAAGTGGGAGGTATACCATATTTGTTGATTTTATTTTATTAGAACTCTATACCCGTAATTAAGGCTCTTAATATTATTATTATTATCATTAGTTTTAAAAGGGAAATGAACAGTGTTGCAAGTAGTAGGAAAAATAAAGTACCAAATTCGACTTTTAAAATGTACCAAATTTCCCTGAAATGTACCTCTCATTTAAATGAAATTTTCGTTTTCCCTCAAAATTAAATATAGCTTGCTATTGCCAACAGATGAATATAAAAATAAAAAAAGCCTGATTTATGGATTGTCTTCCTTCCTTTCTCCCGTAAAAGATGAACAATACGAAAACCGTAGTGCTGTTTATAGATTCCCGTACGGTAATCTATAACCAGCACTACGGTTTTCGTATTGTTCAACTTTTACGGGAGGAAGGAAGGCTTAAGACGGAAAACGGCCATTTTCTTTGGCCGTACCCTGCATTTTTTAGGTCTGACACTGTTCACAATAAAAAACAGCCTCGGCCAGAAAGTATATTACGCGAAAGAAGACTCCGATTATTGCTTTACTAGAAACTGCTGCGGGTCACTGAGACCGTTCGACATAAAAATTTTGGATAATTACAAAAATGAAGTCATTCATTTGTATCGGCCGCTTGCCTGCCAGGGGTGCTGTTTCCCATGTTGCTTGCAGAGCATGGAAGTGTCTTCTCCCCCAGGAAACATTGTGGGTAGAGTTGACGAAGAATGGAGCATCTTCCTGCCGAAATACGCCGTCAAAAATGCCAGCGGCGAAACGGTTTTAAGAATCGAGGGTCCGTGGTTTAGGATGAGCTGCTGCGACGACGTCGAGTTCAAAATAACGTCGGCAGATGGCAGCGTTCAGTTGGGCAAAATCTCCAAGCAGTGGTCTGGACTGCTCAAGGAAATGTTCACTGACGCCGACAACTTTGGGATCACCTTCCCCATGAACTTGGATGTTAGGATGAAAGCTGTTTTGCTGGGAGCTTGCTTCTTAATTGTAACTATTATTTATACAGTGTTAAGTTGGCAACATATGGGAAACTTTCTTTATAAAAAGTTCTGCATGTTCTAAAATCTAAAGTAAAATCATCAGATATCAAATTTATACAGCCATATACGAGGTTTGACAAAAAATGGAAATAATTGCATATTTAAACGTAGTTTTTAGTTATGATAAACTTTTTTTATAAGAATTTTCGATAATGTCAAATATAAAGGTAAATTTACTCTTGAGTAAGATTCATATTTTTTGAAAAACCGAGTATACGACTGAAATTTTTTATATCTGAGGATTGTATTTTAGATTTAAGAACGTGCAGAACTTTTTATGAAGAATAACTTTTTTTCCAGAGATATCTCTGTTTTTTTCTTAAAATTAATAATAAAAAAGTTACCCAATGTTGCCAACTTAATATTAGTGGGTATTTATTTTTACTAATCGATTTATTTCTTTTACAGGATGCAATGTACTTCGATCACCAATAAATTATTGGCAATAATACTTTTCAGGAATTCATTTTGCCATTATATTAAATAAGTATTCCTATACAACATTATTTTTGTGTTTTATTTTTTAAATAAACCGCCGTACAAAAGACAAATTATGTTCTTAAAGCAGTTTAAAACTAAACTATGGCATGATAAAAAGCCCAGAATAAATCATTTAAAAATATTCGGTTCTACCGCTTATATTCATAATAAGATCAAAAAACATAAATTTTACAAAAACTAAAACAAATGCATATTAGTTAATCGATCAAACGAACTTACCTTGTGAAGTTCGATCGTAATTACATGAGCCCTCCTCCAAATGGATCGCTGTCATTTTGATAAATTGGTAGTAACGACCTCTCGTGACGAAAAGCACAAACCATATAACAATAAAAAGCATATTCATATCTATAGCATATACCCAGAATGTACCTGAACTTATATTCATATTCTTAGCATGTTCCACGAATATATAAACATGTACCACCTATATTCTAAAACGTATATTCCCGTGCATTTATTCATAGCATATGCTAAGGATATTTCGCTATATGCTTATAAAAACTTTACAGGATATACTTTTGACTAAGTTGTAGCATGTACGTAGTATATGCTTGTGACATGCAACATAACAACAGCGCCACCTGTTGCTCGATCTGTGACAGATCGATCTGTCACAGATCGAGCAACAGGTGGCGCTGTTGTTATGTTGTATGTCAACTCGGCCGCACGCCATTTTATTGGTTTGTCTTTTGTCCGAGGATTTGTTTATCGTAAAAAAGTTTCAAAACAAACGGTTAAAGGTTAAAGTGCTGTGCTGCAGTTAAAATAGTGCGTAAACAGTGGCCACGGGGGCATTGTATTCTGTGGGCATTGCATTGCACTCCTCTGACAAGGGGGTTATATTTTGTGGTGTAAGCCCTAAAAGAAAACACTAAATATTATACACAGAGGTGTAGTCCCTAAGTTTTGTATTTGATGTGCGAGTTTATTGAAATCTGGAAAGGAAAGACTAAAAAGCTTGACTTTTTAAGGTTAGTTGTGTGCTAAGAATGTAGTATACATTCTATGGTATACTATAGTATTGATACATACTTTAGTGTGTAAGTAGGTAGTTATTATAGTTAGTTGTGGTTAAGTTGAGTTGGAGGACATACAATGTTCACAAAAAAACACCCAAAAAGTAAACGCTCGCTTAGACGCATGGTGACTAAAAAAACTCGTGAAGCAGAACTTTTGCTTACTTTAAATGACACTCTTAAGGTTTCTACTTCTATTTCTTCATCTCCACCATCTCCTAAACCAACATGTAGTAACAAGTGTAGTAATAATATTGATTCAAGTCTGTTTGAAGTAAGTCCTACTATTCATTTTGCACGAAGTAATCAATCTGAGTTTAAGCCGCTGGCTCATTTGACTCCAACACAGTCAGCCACATCAAACAATATTTTTGCGTAAGGAATACGATGTTACCTTATGTCCAGTGGCGTAGCGACAGTACCGCGAACGCCCGCCAAGCGGGGGGCCCTAACCTCGTAGGGGGCCCGGCCGATACTTGTCCCAAAACATTAAAATACTTATTTCCATCTTACTTATACTAAAAATTGAATAATAATGAATGATTAATTAAAAATATCATAATTTACTAAAATGTAGGTAGGTACTTGATATTATTGGCCTACCATCACAACATAAATGTAAAACATCTAACGGAACCTTTTGATGAATTTTAAAAATCGCGCTTATTTAACAATTGACAGCGGGTTTACGCAGGAACGATTCAGACTTGGCATTTATAAATGCGCATATCTGTTTAGAGTTGGGCGCATGTTTCCAAGTTCTGAATCGTTCCTGCGTAGTTATGCGTATTATTCTGACAGTTCTGAAGCGTTCTCTTTGCGAACCCCTAAAATTTTGACGATTGTGATTCACAAGTTGTTAGTTTGTTTTTGTTTTATATTCGTATTGGTTCAAGTAGGTTCTTATTTGTGACTGCTTCTGATTTTTATGTTAAAAAATATGGTATTATTTTCTATTATTTTACTTATAATTTATAAGTAGGTACAGTGGAGAACCTTATTTTTTTTTAAATTATTTTTTTGTTACTTTTCGTTTATAAATAATTTAAAAAATCCCCGGATGTATTATTTTTTATTTACAATATAAAACCATGTTAAAAATACCTGAAATCAGGGGACCCAGTAAGGATTTTCGCGGGGGGGCTCGAAATTTGTCGCTACGCCACTGCTTATGTCTCATTCTTTTTGGGACACCCTGTATAATAATACTTCCTATATATATATTTTTTTTTTAGATTGGCTGACAAACAGCATGAGGAAGAACACAATACCTAATACATATTATAACCTTTTTTTAATAAATGTTATTAAGCATGTAGGTAGCTGTATTTTTACCTTACCAAGTATGTTCACAGAATATGCTATGTATATATAGCCAAGTATTCCCAGTATATTCTTAGAACATTCCCAATTGTAGTGCATAGCACATGCTACTTGTGGCCAAAAGGATATGCTAAGCATTTCCCTAGTATATAAAAGCATTATTCCTAGCATATGCTCAGAACATATTTCTAATAATATTAAATATCCTTATATGTAAGAAGTTGATTCTGAGCACATGCTAGGTATATTATTTTGCTATGTTGCTATAAGTAGGCAAAAAACGTCCTACTTTACCGACCCTTCTCTAGCCATTACAATTTTTGTGGAGGAAAGCCCTAACACAATATTGACTATAGGGTTGAATTATATGATCTTTGAGGTGAGAGATCATAAGGGTCGGGAGGGAGCGATCCATTTGGAGGAGGGCTCATGTAATTACGATCGAACTTCACAAGGTAAGTTCGTTTGATCGATTAATTACATTTCACCCTCCTCCAAATGGATCGCTGTCATTTTGATAAATTGGTAGATGTTTAAAGAAAATTATATTGTGTTAGGTTAAGGACTAAACCTTCAATATTAACCTAAATATTATAATAACAAAGTTTTTATTTGAATGTTTAGAGTAAAAATACTCCAAATGAGTTAACGAATAAAAAATTCTTGTAAATAACAGTTACAATTAGCTGAATTGTATTTGTGCCTGTAAAGTACTTTCTCAGGAATGAATTTGGCTAAAATTTGTATCCCAAAATACTTTTAGCAAATGCTTGGCTATTTGATAAAGGAATGTTGTAAAATTTTGCGAAAGTTGCAGAATTCTCAGTCCAGCCAGCTGTCCTCTTGATGGTGGCCAAAGAAATGCCTTTTCGCAGTGCTGCTGAAGTTGAGGCATGTCTTGTTGAGTGGGAACCGAAAATTCTTGTGTCGATACCAGACTTACACAATGTATCTCTGACCCATCTGCTGAGAGTCTGTTTAGATGCTCGATTAAAGGGTTTCCTGGTGTTTAGAAACAGGTATGACTGGTCTGAGGTTCTGAAGTGTGCAGTTTTTTCCAAATATGTTAGCAAAAGTGTGGCCACACACAAGGAATCATTATCTTCACCAAAAGGAATCTGGAGACAGGGTTGCTCTCTCCCCACTTTTGAGGTTTTAATTCTCTCATCTATTAGGATTTGAGCCCCATTTGGGTCGAAGATAATGTTCTCTACTTTTATTAAATGTAAGGATTGTAATCTCTGCCCTGTAATGAGTGCTAATAGAGTGACCAATTTTCTGGTAATGACTAAAATATTGGATTCTTGGTTGTTGATACTTTTTAGGTAATTTAGAACTATATTTGTGTCCCAAATTGAGTTATATTTTGGTTTGGGGGCCTTTAGTCTTGCAATGCCTTTTATGAATCTTCTTAATATCAGGTCTTTCCCAATATCCCCCGGCAAAATCAGGGCTAACGCGGATCTGTGATTGTTAAAAGTGCCATACACCTGTTTTCCCGAATTCAAAACATTTTGAAGAAAACAAATAAAATTGGGGACACTAGCATTGTAAGGATCTAGGTCCTCCGTTTTGCAGAAGTCCCACCAGCGTGAAAAAGTGGTGCTGTATTGTTTGATAGTACTTTCTGACAGAGAACTTATTGTAGTTTCCACTGCATCCTTGGGCAGACGTTTATTTAGAAGTGCTTGGCCGATAACTTGGCGACAGCCAGGGTGGTCGATATTGTACTGTAAGAAAGATTTATTGTGTTAACACACTAATTAGTAACTGAATTAAAAATTAAGGGATCGGATATGGTAAGATCCTTAATGAGTGGAAACCATGGCTGTGTTGGCCATAAAGGATATACAACGATACCTTCTGCTTTATCAAGAATTATATTATTTAAAACTCTCAAAACTAAATTAAAAGGGGGAAAAGCATAAAAATTTAAATTTGACCAATCGACGGTGAAAGCATCCACCGCTACTGAGTCTGGATCCCTCATCCAAGAAACATATGATACACACTTGTGATTTTCTTTGGATGCAAAGAGGTCAACAGACGGCTGTCCAAAAAAGGAACATATCTTTAAAAAGCATTCCTCTGTTAATTCCATTTCTGTTTCAGGTTTAATTAAGGACCCTGCTACTGGAATCTGCTTTATTATTTTTAGAATTGATGTACGTTGCATGCAACCAGATGCATGTTTCTCTTTTCACACCATTGCCAGATATCTTTGGAAAGTTCAATATGTTGAACGCTACCCATACGGTTAATGTATGAGATAGCTGTGGTGTTATCAACTTTAAGTAAAATAGATACGTCTTTAGTATCCTTGGCAAAACATTTAATTACATAGAAAATAGCCTTCAATTCTAAAAAATTGATATGTTTATTCCAATCATCTTTTCCCCACCATCCGTAGCAAACCTCTACCTTGAAGTATCCTCCCCATCCTGAAGAACTGCTATCAGTATAAAATTCAAAGTCATAACTATCCTGAAAGATGTCATTCTTGCTTTTAAGAATGTTATTTTCCCACCATAAAATATTATTATTATTTTGATTTAGAGCCAACCATTTCTCTCTTTCAAAATTTTTTGTATACATTTTTGTTTTGGTTAATAATAAAGCCCAATTTTTCCAAAAAATTGACCCCCAGTTCTGTGAATAATTTACACTGAGAAAAGGAATTGGCAATAATCAAAAAATCATCTATGTACACGACACAAAAAATGCCCATTTTTGGTAAATATTCTACAATCGGTTTTAGAAGCTTATAAGTAAATACATATGGACACGAGGACAATCCAAAAACTAGAGTGTTAAACTCATAGCAAATATTATTGAAAAATAAACCTTAAAAATTTTCTGTGGGAAGGATCTACCGAAACTAGGTAGTATGTATCCTTTAAGTCTATTTTAGACATATAGGAACCTCTTTTAATTAAACGCATTGCGATTCTATAATCCTCCATTTTGAAATGAACCGAATCCACAAAAGTGTTTAACTTTTTTAGGTTAAGAATAAATCTAAACTCGCCATTTGGCTTTTGAACGAGAAAAAAGTTTGATAAAAACTGTCCTCTACCAGGTTTACATTCTGAGATTACACCTGAGGCAACTAATTTTTGAATTTCAATGTTTGTTGCCAACTTCTCCTGAGATAGAGGTTAAAATTTTTTACCATCCCTGAATTTTTAGGGATTTTTAGAAAAGGTATCTTGTAACCTTTTATGTAGCCCAAAACAGTGCTATTGGTTGTAATTTTCTCCCACTCATTAAGGAAAAAACTTGCCAGCTAACTTTACCTTTTTGTTATTAACCTTTATTTTCGACGAGATGTGTACGTCTGTCTGTACTTCTTCAGATTCTTGGTGCTGGAGGTTGGTCCCCTTGACGACCGACTCTCCCTCCGGAAGTTCGGTGGGGTTTTGAAGTTTTTTGAAGAGATGTTTTGGGGTTTAATTTTGTTCGACGTGAATTTGGGTGAAAAAATGTCTGGCCTAGACGTTGATGCTTTTATTACCATGCTTTCTCTTTCTAAAGCCTTAGCTGCTTTTACTTTTTCCCCTAGGTTCTCCCCAAAAAGTACCTCTCCTACTGGTTGATCCTTTGAAACGGTTTTTACCTGGGATGATAGGTGAGGCGTGATGACGGCTCTGCGAGAAACGGACATATTATGGTGAACATTTGCTACCATGCGTCCAGCATTACTTATGTGAGTAAGAATTTCTTCTCTGTGTTTAACATTGTTTATGCACGAGTCTCTTAGTAACTCATTGATTGCTTTGCCAATTGCAGTAAGACCGCAGCCTAAGTCTGATTGCATTTTTCTTTGGTGTTCGTCTCGTGCTTTTATGTAGAAAGGAACAGCCGTACTGACTGCCTCATTTAACTTTGGGATAGTGTAGGAAAATTGGAAGGAATGCGATATGTAGTCCATTTGGAGTTGTTTAACTTCTTCCTCCATTCCTTTAGCTAAAATGGACCCCCACCTTTGAGACACCACTGGATGTAAAAGGAAATCATTTGTTTTATTTTTTAGGTTAGGCTCGCCGAGAGCTCTAAGAACGCTATCATTTAGAGGTTCTAACGCAATGTTTTCCTCAGGTAAATCTACATCTGAGCTATTTATTTGCAGCACCTGGCTGTGTTGTGGTGATTGTAAAGAGAGCAAGTTGTGCACACCCACCGAGGGTTGTGACGCAGAAACACCCACCGAGGGTTCACGTCTGGGACTGCTACGGGCCGAGATCCGGTCTCGGGAGTCCCTTCCTCTTCGTCTAGGATCTGAACTTTCCATTCCACTACGAGATCGGTGTCTATCTTTAAGTGGTAGTCTAGATCTAGACCTACCTTTGTGAGATCTTGAGTTTTGACCTTGACTGCGAGAATGGTAGTTCGGAGACCGGCTCCGAGAAGCAGACGAAGAGCTAAATGACGCCCAAGACCGTCTTCTACGGTGATGGCGTCTATCTCTATTTTCTTTCTCATCCTTCCTTTTTCTGTGTTTCCCCATACTAAAAATAAGCCTAAAAAGCGTATCAGTATAAAATACTTACTCAGATTTAAATAAATCTTTGAAAAAACCTTAGAAATTGGTTAAACCAACGTAGAATCGTGCTTTCCGAATTGCACAAAAAATCGTAATGCAGTGTTGCCAACCTTTGAGAATTAAATTTCCCACAAAGAGGGTAAAAATTTCCCTTTTTTACTAAAATTTTCCCACGAATTTTAAAAATGATAAAGTTTATTTTGGCAAGGGTATTTTTTGTTTTCAGAAGAAAAATACAATATTTTGAGAAACGGAGAAATTTAAATTAAAAAAAATGATAAATTTTTTTAAATCATTCATTGGATGAACTAGACATTACGAATTGCGTTTGTAAATAAAAACTAGTTTAATCTAACACTTTTTGTTTTATACAGCTCATAAAATAATACTTCACCCGCTTTTACAAAAATACTACACAGAAACTCAGGCCCACTTATTGCTACAAATCGCACGTATAATTCGGTAAATGCCCGAGTATATTTCAAATTGTAAGCAGGGTTGCCGTTTTGCCAGTAATTGAATGTGAACCAGGAATTTACCAGTAAAAAACTTGAAAGTTAGAACGAAAATTTTTATGGCGTGAATTTCTGTAAAACTGTGATTCAACTTAGATAATTTAAGTGTGATGCGTATGGCAAGCCGTTTTAGTTTTTATTACACATAGCTATCAAGTCCCATTTTAATTCGACTTGATTTCCATGAGACATTAGATAATTGAAATTATATGTATTTTCCTTAAGGGAAATTACATTTTAATTACAAATTATAAATAAAATTCCTTTTTTAATAAGCATTGAAATTTTGAGTACATTAAATTGAAAAGATTAGATGTAGAGGATGATTTACATTCGAAATTGTAATAAAAATACTAAAACATTTCATTTTTATTTGAAATAATAATAAAAATTATTTTTATGACAAATAGTAATTTTAATGCAAATTTCGTTAAGGAAAGTAGTTTTTATTATAATTAAGAAATTAAATGCATTTACGTTAACGGAAATGCAATTTCCCTTAAGGGAAATATCATTTCTGTTAAGAGAAATTGTATTTCCCTTAAGGGAAATAGCATTTCCGTTAAGGGAAATTGGCGCCATCTATGAGACGGATGAAGTTCAAATAGTTATTTTTATCAAAATTCTATAAAATGAAATTATTGCACTGTGATTTTACAAAAGATTTATTAGTAAAAAGAATTTTTTTGATTGTTACCTTTTTAATTTAAAAACCAACCGTTACACCTGTTGACAGCCACCCACAAAATATCACCCACCAGTGTTGCCAGATGTAAAAAGTGAATTTATCGACAAATTATCGACAAATTATTGACAAAATTATCGAATTTTCAGAAAATTGTCACAAAATTTGTATTGATAATGCTATAATAATAGTAATATTAATAATTATGGGTACTACTCGAGAAAACCAAACTCTCCGAATCGAATCGCGATAACACCGATCGACTTTGGAATCGCATCATTCGAATCGAATGTTGTGTGGCAACGCCGCATGTGTAAGGTGTGTTTTAACGTTTCTAATAAAGGATATTAAAACGAAAAGAAGTAGTAAATAGCAAACTGTAGTAGTAATATTATTCATTATTGTTAATTGTGTCATATTTGTTGCATTCAAACAAAATGAAAGATTCTGGCATTCCAACCAAAGTTGACAGAACTCTGTAAGCGGTGGAACCTTCGGCATCTTCACCACAGATAGCGCCACTAATTTCTCTTAAGGGAAATGTAATTTCTGTTAAGGGAAATAGCATTTCCGTTAAGGGAAATATCATTTTCGTTAAGGGAATTGTAATTTCCCTTAACGGAAATAGAAGTTTATTTTTGTTTAGTTAAAAATAAAAGTAATTCGAGCTATTTTTTGTACACATGATCATTAAGTCTCATTTTAATTCGATGTTATTTTCTGATTCTCTAAATATTGTTAGACTCTATGTATTGCGGTTCTAAATTTTTTTCGGGAACAACATTCCAATGAGTATTTCAAATTAAAATGTTTTTAATTTTTATGTCATTTAGGAAAGTATAAAACTATATCTTTAAGGACAAATGCATTTATATTCGTAATAGTAATTTTAATACGTTTTATTTTAATACTTAGCCTGGTCTAACATAAATAAAATGTAACATTGTATCCAAGTCAGAAGCTACTTTAATAAAATTGAATTAAAATAAAATCCTTTTAATGTGTCATAAAATTGCTCCAAAAAACTAAAACAGTAAAAATAATTTGCATTAAAATTATAATTAGTAAATTTAATACAATTTCTGTTAACGAAAATTGCTTTCACGTTAAGGACAATATTTAAAAAACCAATGGAAATAAATACAACAAATGCATTATTTTTACTATTTGTAAAGAAAATATGCATTCAATTTTGAAATTATAATAAAAATGTAATTTCCCTTAAGGAAAATACATATAATTTCAATTATCTAATGTCTCATAGAAATCAAGTCGAATTAAAATGAGACTTGATAGCCATGTGTAATAAAAACTAAAACGGCTTGCCATAGATGCGGAGTATATACACTGTATTTATAAATACCCTGCTAAAAATAAAATTAAAAATTAACTGCATTGTATGCAAACCAAAAGTATTCTGCCAGGAATACAACGTAATTTTTTTCCAGTAATTTCCAGTAATAGATTTTAGTTAAGCCAGGAATTTAGCATTGGCCTTCCGGCAACGCTGATTGTAAGAAAAACTTGAAGCGTGCATAGAGCAGGAAAGCTATGTACGCAAGTTTGTGACGATTCACATAGAGTATGTCCGGGATGTATACTCATCATCATTGACGTCACTATTAGGCCGCTGGTTTGTTGACTTTGGCTGTCCACAAACTTTATATGTTTAAGCTGTTATTTTTAAAAGAAAAAGTAGTACCTATTATAGGTATAATACTACTATAGTAAACATTTTTTCGGTAATTTTTTTTCATGAATGTTGATTGGACTTTTTTTTTCTAGTTGTTTTAGTTGAAAATTGATTGGACTTTACAATTTCCCACGAATACAGGATTTTATGTTAAAATTTCCCTTTTCCCTTTGGCACTTAAAATTTCCCACGAATCGGGAAATTTCCCACGAGTTGGCAACACTGTCGTAATGGCTAGAGAAGGGTCGGTAAAGTAGGACGTTTTTTGCCTACCTTAAACTGGTTTGTGCTTTTCGTCACGAGAGGTCGTTACTACCAATTTACCACATATACTTACCATGTGGTAAGTATATGATTTACCAAAATGACAGCGATCCATTTGGAGGAGGGTGAAATGTAACTATTATCTACAGACGATAAATTAGTTGAAATTAAATTGTTAATATTTTTTAAATATGTCCCCCCGCATCTCTATTAGTTTACCAAAATTTCACCAAAAATTTTAAACCGTTTTCGAAATAACACTTTAAAAAACTCACCCGGTATATATATATATTTAAATAAAGAGCCAATTTATTATTTGGTTTTATTTTTTTCCCAATAATCACTAAGTCAATAAGACATTTCACAGAAAAATAAAACGTAGATCAATAAAGGTTCGCCATTTCTGAAGGTTATCTGATATCTCTGGTTTAACTACAATTTGTTCTCATTTTTAAAGTTGGCTAGTTTGTGAGTATACCTATAATAGGTAAAAAGTTATTTTAATCCATACTGTATTTTTTATTTGCACCTTCTGTTAAATGAATAGGCTTTGGTGTGCAGCTACAAAAAACTAATTTTTAAATTTTTATTTAGTTAAGTAAACATTAAATGAGATGTCTTCTTCACCGCTTCAAGAACACCTACCCAAGACAACTCAACCGAGACCATCCTCCCAAAACGGTAAATTAACATTTAGTTTTTAATATTAAAATAAAATATAAATAAATCAAAAGCTATTGTTAGTTGAATATTCATCTTTAAGATATAATATATTCAACTATATGTGAAACATCATTTGGATTGTCAAATAAACGTTGAGCCTGATTTATAAATTGCCTTCCTTCCGTAAAAGATGAACAATACAAAAACCGTTGTGCTGTTTATAGATTCCCGTACGGCAATATATAAATGGCACTACGATTTTCGTATTGTTCATCTTTTACGGGAGGAAGGAAGGAAGGAAGGAAGGCAATCTATAAATTAGGCTTTAATAGTAAAATCGTATTGCGCATGCGATGTTGGTATCAGTTTTTTAAATGGCAACGCCTTCATTGGAAAGCTCTTGAAAATTGCTATATAACTGTGCTAAAAACTTTTTCAAGCGAGTTTTTAAGTTGCTCACGAGGCCGTTAGGCCGAGTGTGCATTAACACGAGCTTGAAGAAAGCTTTTCTCACAAGTATAACACAATGTTTTTTCTGCGACCCTTTTGTTTTTTATTATTTTTAAATACAAAACAAAATAACCTAAAAACTTTTTTGACAACTGAATGTCAAACGATGCTTTCAATTTCTTTTCACACAGACCTGTCACTTTTCACACAGAGATGTCACTTTACATTCGTGTTTTGCCTTGCCAATGAAAAGATTCATTTTCTAAGCAACGATGCCAACATGAAAAGTGACTTTTACATAGTGGTCGTAGAAAAAATACTTTTAAATAGTTTATTTTTTTTAAATACCTAGGCAAAATAATTATTATAATTATTTATTCCACTTTCTCGTTATAAATATCAAATTAAGAAGTAAATATTTCTTAAATAATATAATAAACCTAAATAATATATTATATTAATTAAATTTACATAGGTACGACCAATAAAATAAAGAATATATTTTTAATTTCTTTTATAGGTGAATGGATGAATAGGCCTCAAGAGATTCCCATGGACCATTGCAATTGTCCTCCAGGACTAGAATACCTTACTAAGATTGATCAACTACTGGTTCAGCAAAAAGTTGAAGGCCTGGAAGGTATACCATATTTGTTAATTTTTTTTATACATATCAAGGTCAAGACTCTCAACATATGAGAAACGGAATAGCCTTAAACATAGGTGATGTTTGGCTTGTCGTTGGTTGAACATACATGTTAAGAAATCGATGTTTACGAACAGCAAGAAAGGGAATAGGCCTCTAAATCTAAAAAATGATCCTTAATATTAGGTCGAGAATCGATTTTCTGTTTAAATAACATAGGGAATTTTAGTTTTAAAATACAATTCAAGAGAATTTTGATTTAAATGAACAGTACCAAATTTCGACTTTTAAAATGTAGTACCTCTCATTTAAATGAAATATACAAAACGTTTTTGGGATTTTCGTTTTTTCCTCAAAATTAAATATAGCTTGCTGTTGCCAACAGATGAATATAAAAATAAAAAGCTGTTGTAAAGCCTGATTTATGGATAGTCTTCCTTCCTTCCTCCCGTAAAAGAGGAACAATACGAAAACTGTGGTGCTGTTTATAGATTCCCGTACGGTAATCTATAAACAGCACTACAGTTTTCGCATTGTTCATCTTTTACGGGAGGAAGGAAGGCTTAAGACGGAAAACGGCTGTACCCTGCATGTTTTAGTTCTGACTGGATTTGAGACTAAAAACAAATTCACAATAAAAAACAGCCTAGGCCAGAAAGTATATTACGCGAAAGAGGACTCCGACTGCTTGACCAGAAACTGCTGCGGGCCACTGAGACCGTTTGACATGAAAATTTTGGATAATTACAAAAACGAAGTCATTCATTTGTATCGGCCGCTGGCTTGCGGGGCGTGCTGCTTCCCATGTTGCTTGCAGAGCATGGAAGTGTCCTCTCCCCCGGGAAACATTGTGGGTAGAGTGGACCAAGAATGGAGCATCTTCCTGCCTAAATACGCCGTCAAAAATGCCAGCGGCGAAACGGTTTTGAGAATCGAGGGTCCGTGGTTTAAGATGAGCTGCTGCGGCGACGTCGAGTTCAAAATAACGTCGGCAGATGGCAGCGTTCAGTTGGGCAAAATCTCCAAGCAGTGGTCTGGAGTGTTCAAGGAAATGTTCACTGACGCCGACAACTTTGGCATCACCTTCCCTATGGACTTGGATGTTAGGATGAAAGCTGTTTTGCTGGGAGCTTGCTTCTTAATTGTAACTATTATTTATACAGTGTTAAGTTGGCAACATATGGGGAACTTTCTTATTATTAATTTTACGAAGAAAAGTTATTCTTTATAAAAAGTTCTGCATGTTCTAAAATCTAAAATAAAATCATCAGATATCAAATTTTCACAGCCATATACGAGGTTTGACAAAAAATATGAATTTGGTACAACAGTAGGCTTTAAGCCTGGTTCATATAGATGCGACATGCGAATTTGCGAAATGCGAAAATGTTTTCATTGGTCCATTTGATTTGGCGGGAAAAGTGTTTCGACGTTTCGACAGATTCTGCGAATTCGCATTATTTGAAATCTGGGGGGCGGGAATCTTGAGATTGATCCAATATTTTGCGAAATTCGCACGAAATTGGCGTGATGCGCATGCATGTTATATGTATCCGCGCCATTTTTGTTTATGTTCTGTGTTTATTTCATTTGTATTGCATCGTTGTTGAATTTTATTTGAAATGTTTCTTGCTAAAGTTGTTTTTTGTTCATTATAATGGACAAAGAGTTTTTGGAGGTACATTAGTTTCTTATTTTACCTTATAGTAGCATATTTTTTTAGAAGTAACTTTACTATTTAAGTACCTACCTATAGAAAATGTTAACCAAATATGGCAAATATCACCTGGAGAGAAAATAATGTCCCTAAAATACCATGGCAAATATCGCCTAGTGAGAAAACAATGTCCCTAAAATGGTTCCGACAATTCGCATCTATATGAATAGGAGCTGCGAAATGCGAATATTCGTATTTCGCAAATTCGTAAATTCGCAAATTCGCATCTATATGAACTCGGCTTAAAGTACCTGTATTTGTCACAATATCGAAAACTATAATTATGAAAAGTTGTTCGGAATGAAAAACTATGTTTTAATATGCAATTACATTCTTCTACTTAAAACAATTCTATTGTAGGTAAACAAAAAAGAAAAAATTATTTTTTCTTGAAAATGGAAATAATTACATATTTAAACGTACTTTTTAGTGATGATTAACTTTTTTTTATAAAAATTTTCGATAATGTCAAATATAAAGGTACTTTACTCTTGAGTAAGATTCATATTTTTTGAAAAACCGCGTATACGATTGAAATTTTTTATATCCGATGATTGTATTTTAGATTGTAGAACGTGCAGAACTTTTTATGAAGAATAACTTTTTTCTAAAAATTAACAATAAAAAAGTTACCCATATGTGGCCAACTTAATATTAGTTGGTATTTATTTTTACTAATCTATTTAATTCTTTTACAGGATGCAATGTACTTCGAAATATAAGCCTTTTCAAGTATGTATTTTGCCATTATATTAAACAAGTATTCCTATACAACATTATTTTTGTGTTTTATTTTTTAAATAAACCGCCCTCCAAAAGACAAATTATGTTCTTAAAGCAGTTAAAAAGTGAACTGTGGCATGATAAAAAGCCCAGAATAAATCATTTAAAAATATTAGGTTCTACCGCTTATATTCGTAATAAGATCAGAAAACATAAATTTGACAAAAACTAAAACAAATGCATATTAGTCGGTTACAAAATATTAGATATCAAAACTAATAAATTTATTTGAGCTCGTGACGTCATTTTGACGAAATAAATTTTAAAACGTCCAGACCAATACCTACTTGATAAAGAAATGAATCAATTTAGTAAGCAAGATATGCAAGAAATAAAACTATTTCTAGGTATTAAAGAAAATAGATATAAAGATAAAATTACTTTAGGTTAAAGTTTATACCTAAGATATCTTAAAACAATTCTAAATATAATATAATAAAGCAGCTTGAACCTACTTAGAGAGATAGAGAGATTTGGGGTTGATATTTGACCCATAGACTGTCTATGATAGACATATTAATACACTGAAAAAAAGAAACCTTTGCCCCAAGGAAATCTGCCATTCCCTCAAAGGAATGGGGACTTTGGATAGGTCCAAATGAATGAAGGGTTTAAAGCAAATACGTCATTTCTTTGAGATCATTTCATGATTTGTCTTTGTTGCAAAGAAACATGAATTTAGAAGAAGATCTTCGTTATAGGTCCTTAAATGCCGTGCTTTTATTAATAACCCGGTACTGATTTGGATCAAAGGCTTAAGTAAATTGAAATAAAGAAAAGCGGGCTTACTACAAAATCTTAGGTTCTTGTTCTTAAAGAATTAGGAATTTGTAACAAAAGTCGGATGTCTGGATTTAAATCTATTGGCATTTAAGTTAAGTGATTTAATTTTTTGTAACAAAATCCGAGTTTTTATTTCAAATCCATAAGCGTTTGATTAAAAAACTTTTGTTATTTGTATCAAAACTCGGATTTCTTGCTCTTAATCTATGGGCATTTGAACCAAAGCCCGAATGTCTTTAGCTGAAACTCTTTGATTTTAGAAAATTGCCTGCCTAAATTAAAAAAAACTACAATAATTTTTACTTAAAACATATTTTTATTAAAAATATAAAAGAAATTGTTCATACAGTCATAGACATAAAATACATTGTTTATACAAAATACAAAAAACTGATTATTCTTAACTCAAAGAAATTTCCACCTTGCAGCCGTAGGCTATGGTCTAGCTGGCCTTATTAGAAATCCACCTCTGGATATCTGTCAAGAAATAAGAAGGATATATTCTCCTCCCAAAGATTTATTTTTTTGGAAAATAATGCCGTAAGTACTTATTTGTCAATATGTTTTAAGACTTTAACACAAAACCATCCTAATATTGAATTAATCCCAGTGCATTTGAGCCAAAACCTACATATATGTGTGTTTTATCTATGGAGGACATGACTTGCTGACATGTAGGTTTTGGCTCAAATGCACGGGGATTTATTCAATATTATGATGCTTTTGTGTTAAAGTCTTAAAACATATTGACAAATACCGCATTATTTTCTTACAAAATTTTAATCTTTGGGAGAAGGTATAGGTAGCCATTTTTATTTTCCTGTTCTAAGAAAGCGTTTTACAGAATGATAATATTTTCATGAAATAATTATATTTTAGTCGATTTTAGCTTATTAATTAGGTATTTTTCTTTATTACATTCCTAATCGATTAAAATTTTAAAAATAAGAATACATTACCTATAAAATTAAACTTCCAAATTTTGGAAATAAATGAATAATCCCAAAGTTTAAGCAGTTCCTTTATGGTACCCATAATCTCGATCTATAACACTATGGTACAAATAATCTTGATTTATAGCCATAGAAAAAGTATCACACTAGTTATTTATTCGCGCGAGATGAACACATTTGACGAAGTACTGTGGACGCGACGCGTGGACTGATACTGAAGGACTATCAAATTACCGAGTGATTTCCGACAAATGCTTTGTTCTTGAAATAAAGTTATTATAAAGGATTTAGCCAAAAGAATCAAGAGTTTGCCTTAAATGCATCACCTATTTTAGTCAAATGCCAAAGAATTTGCAAAAAGTTAACTTTCTTTAAACTAAAAGAATAATTTTCAAATGAATGGATTCTTTTGCCTAAAATAATCCATGTTTATCAGTGTAGTTTGGCACAAAACCGTGGGATTTCTAGCAATAACATTAAATTTTGACAGAAAGACATGAATTGAAGATTTCTTTTGTCTAAATGCCTTTACTTTGCCTTAAAGTAATTAAATGTCAAAAGAATCGAGAATTACACCTAAATGCAGCAATTATCTTATCTGAAGGGAAACGGATTTAAAATAAATACAGTTTCTTTGAATTAAATCAATATTTTTCAAATGAATGGATTCTTTTGCCACAAGGATACCATTTTTATCAGTGTATGCTCAAGTATGATACGAATTGTAAACTAAATAAAAAGTGGCTTAATTTACATATATATGTATTATATTATAAAAGCCACTAAAAATCTCGTAAACACAATGAAAAAAAACAATGCCACTATTTTTTTAACTTGAAGCACTGTGCGCATTCACAAAATAAATTAACAACACACCCACCCACATTTAAATTTTAAAAAAATTTACAGATAAAGGCGAATCGATTGTTTATAGTAAAAAAATGTTAGAAATTCATTAAAAATAAACCAAAGTTTTATTTAGACGAAAGGTTAGAATGAGCGCAAATAGATTGTTTTAGATGCTTTGTTTTTGTTTATTGTGAAAAAAATTCATCAAACGTTTTGGCTATTATTGGTTTGATTGAAATTTAAACAATTTTTCCGACAAGCAGATTTCGAGTACCTAGGTTAAAAAAAACTTGGCAACGCTGAGTTTTTACTGTGCTGTATCAAGGATATATACGTAGAGACAGGATAGTCGACTTCCTGTACAAAAACGCCCCATAGTCTCCGGGTTGTGGGCGTGGTTTAAGCACACTCGATGTTTTGACTGATCAATCACAGTTGGTTTAATCTGATCTTTTGTTTATTAGGTATATTACATAATAACTCGAAAAAACTATAATTATAACTTGGTCAATCGTCCTTAATTTCTCTAAAAAGTTACCTAAAATTGGCACGATTTTATTTTTAAATGCATCGACAACAAACATGTTTACGTTTTTCCAAATTCTCCAGAAGGGCCGTCGCCTATATAAGCAGACTATCGCGCCAACTCGGCATCAGTCTAAATCCGAGCTTCATATCGTAAACGTCAAAGCAAAGCATCAAAATGACCAAATCGTCCATGGAAGCCCTTTTTAAATGGCTTCAAGCGTCCAGATATCTTCAAGCGCACACCCAGACCGGCTCGATGAAACCACCAACGAAATTCAAAGCAACCACACCGAAATTTCTGCGAAAGAAGTGAATAAAGTGGATGTACATCCGTTCACGGACAACACGATGTACCCACCATCCAGCCTGCTAGATCAACATTTAGGCATTTCCTTGGACCCCGACGATTTTCTGGAGTTTCTGTTTTTGTATACGCTAGTTAAAACGTTTTGAAATCAGCGAATATCGCTGAATGAATAACCTGTTATGTATTTGTGATTTTAGGATTACTCTTTTTTATCTGTATTATGTAAGTGGATAAATCTTTATAGATTGTAACATTCTCTGGATTTTTCGAAAATAAATGTATTATCTTTCTAAAGTGTGGTTTATTTTGAA